AGAGAGAGAGAATCAGAATCATTTGTATAGTGGACACTTATTTTGTATAATCATTAGGCTGGGGATATTAGAAATAATTATGAAAACAAAATTTGACAAAGAAATCTTGAAAGTAAAATTCAAAATTAATAACAGAAATTTAATAAAATTATTATAATACTTTCAAAATTAACTAAATAAAAAGCCACACACCAATAAACAAATTATTATAAACTGACACTAAAACATACAATTTTGTTTTACTGATTTGTTTATAGTCACTAAATAAAACATTCATTCATTGTTCAAACAGAGCGTACATATATTTATTCATTATTCAGGGAGAGACTTCATGCGAATTCTGTATCATCTTTGCCAATATTACCTCATCATAAGCATATATTCTAGCACAAGATTGGTGGTACCACTGTGGGCACTTTCCACACTGAACCCAGAAACTATATTATCCTTTCTTCAACATTCTAATCATTCGATTCTTTCAGTGGTGAATCAGAAGACTTTCACTCACCATATGTACCAAAATTAGAACTAGATTTCACTATCTTTCCTTTAAAATTATTCTTGCTTTTTTTTATCTTTTTATCTTTCTCCACCTTTGTACCATTTTCTGTGCTTTTTTCTCTTATATATCCTTCATGCATCCTTATTTTAGTTCTTGCTTTTTTTTCTCCTCGGTTGCCTTCTACTCTAACATACTGTAGAAATCATCACATGTCAGTACTCTTCAATGTAACGCCAGTTTTGTTCTTCTACTTGCAGTTGAACGGGCGCTTCTGGGAATTTAGATAAGCTTTGAGGTATAAGGCATTTAGCTACCAAAGGATTTACTCCAAAGTAGATACCTTATCTTGGACACATTGATTGTGATACCTGTATTTCTTCATTAGATAATGGTAGTGCTGATGTGGATGGGACAGATACTGGAAAGTGTTGACAATTCACCATTTTAAATGGCTATAGACAAGCTTTGTCTTGTCAATAACATCAGGATTCCATAGGTGAATCCCATTTTTGTAAAGACTTCCTTGATCCGATAAGTTGAAAACTGATCAAGGACATAAGATAGCACTCTTGGAAACTTGGCGTGATTTAATATTTGATTCTTATTTGTTTCACCCAGGTTAGCTGCAAATAAAATGAAGTTTGCTTTCAGTGTGTCAATGATATTTACATCCAGTTGATGTAGAATGTGTGTGTATGTATGTATGTATGTATGTATGTATGTATGTATGTATGTATGTATGTATGTATGTATGTATGTATGTATGTATGTATGTATGTATGTATGTATGTATGTATGTATGTATGTATGTATGTATGTATGTATGTATGTATGTATGTATGTATGTATGTACAGGTAACAAAATTTCGCGTGCGAGCTTGAGTTATTATTACTACAGCAACAACTGGTATGCGGCGGCAGTTGGTTTCTAACCATTATAATTGCTTCCGATATGGACTGTGTGTCAAGTTTGAATTAATTCAGTTACCCTTGTTGGTCCATTAACAATCTGCGGTAAGGTTATTCCCCTTTCTAAATTGTTCCTTTGATGACGAAAATCGTTCAAGAGCCATATCTGAGGATCTCCACTTGAGGGAACAAAAACCTAACTACATATAATTGAGGAGAGTTCTTCAAATTTGAGTTGAGATTTTTCTCATGTGTTCTTTGTGATAATGAATTTGAGAAATATCTCAGATGTTGAAGAAAATCGAAAATTTTAATAGTAAAACACACTTAAGATGTTTAGTGAAACCAGACCCGGTATAACTGGTGGCGGAAGAACCCGGGAAAGACACTAAAAGAACTTACGACACTCCTTAAGCTACTGGCCAGCTCCTACCGCACGCGAGACTCAAACCCATGCGGAAGCGAGATGGCTCGGTTCGGTAAAGGTGATCGCTTAGACCACTCGGCCACCCGTCTTCCAACCTTTGATAAATTTAATTCAAAAGATCTATGTCAACATAGCCCTAATGATAAATTCCAAACCAGGCATGGAGAGCGTGGCACGTTCAGATTCAGACAAGTTTGAAGATTGTAAACTAACAGAAAAAAAGAAGAATAAACACTGATTTAGAGACGGAAGTCTGTATCCAAATAGGTTATGTAATATCACGTTCAAAATCTAATCTACCTCTGTACTCTAAATGACAGGACATAAGAACAACTATCCCATTACCAATACTATGTTCATTCACTTCCTTCCATACTGTAAACCACAATGGTAACCAAGGAACCATCAAGATAATCGTCTTACAATGTTCCATCCAAGCCAAAGATGTCGAAATATTTAGACGTTGTAGTTGCTGCTTTGTAGGAATATATCTAACATTTAGATTTTCCATTTGTAGACCAGTATTACAAAACATGTAGCGAAAAGGAGAATCGTTAAATCTAACTTTGTCATCAACAAATTTTGAATTCATTAAATTCTGAAAGATTAATAAGGCAAGATTCAGACAAATGTCCAAGAAATAGAGAATAGCTCTTATTGAAATATAATGGCGTTAAAAAAGACAATCACTGCGTTTCCAGATGAAAACGACGTCACTAAGTGTAAGTGTATTACCATCATAATATCCAAATTCAAAGTCCTAATTGTAATTAAATTTCTTGTGTGGTAGTTTTAAATTATTTTAAATTTATTTTGGGGGTTCGATAATTTTTTTCAAGCAAATTCTGTTTGTATAGAAGGCAAAAAGCATTAGAGACGCATTAATTTTTTTAGCTCACTCTGGTTCAAATAGTTTTTAAACACTAAGTGATAACCATTTTCTGTTTCCAAGGTCATGTCGGACCCCGTGTTACCCATGTGTAAGTGACGAAGTTTTATTAATGGTTTTCATTGGGGCTACATTGGATTACGTGATAAATATCTTGTAGTAAGTGACCACGTGACCTATTGCGTATCTAAAATCGTGTTTAAGAACAACGTTTTTAGTGATTTTGTTTTATCTTAAAAATATCTTCAGGAGCTCAGAGGTTGTTGCCATAATTTGAGTTATTTTTTTTCTAATAATAATTAATATTCTCTGGAAAATGAGTGCTTCTTCATCAATGTTTTGGACGAAGACATTCAGTGGGGATTAATTGGAATTCTAAAGACGGAATATTATTCTTGATTCATAATGGAACTTTTGACAAATCAATGCTGCATTAATCTGACGTCATCCATCTTTGGAACTTCATCGAGATTCGAAGCCGGATTCAATTAGATCTGTTTAGTGACAGGACTTCTATTTTTCAATTCTTCGATTAATGTTTGGATCATTTTCACAAACCGTGAGTCCCATTTTCTATTTTTAAATTGTTTGTAGGGAAATAACTTTTTATTAAAATGTACTAAGCTTGTTTGCTTCACTCTTTTTTTCTTGTTATTTTTGTACGAGCCTACACGTAACATAACACAATCTGTCGTTGTTGTTGTAATTCAACCTACGGGATTTTTCATGATTTACCGAGGGGCACCATCTGCCATTGAAAGTTGTATGGCTATGGGTAATTTGAGCTATGTATTTAGCACACACCAAAGCTTCTGTTACGGGTTGTCACCAGTAATAAAATTGTTACTGCTAATTAATTTACATAGAATTTGACTCGTGGACATTTCCCTCATTGACCTAGAAATTCGAATGTAGGAAAAACAGTTATTGACACCAAACTAGCGAGTGACGACATAAGAAGAAGAGCATATGGTTGTAATGGCTACCAATAAGTCTAAATGACTGTAAGATAGTGTAGGATGTATAAAACATTATTTATTCCATTTAAAGACTTTGAGGACTTAAACATTATAATGTCATTTATAGCCATTGTATTACGAAGATGGTAATAACATAACTTCGAAGCCGTTGCCAAATCTCTTTTACAAAGATATTTATTTACCTTTCCCGCGTGTTAGCTTTTGTTGCAATCCATGGTCGATAATCTTCTCTTCTTGTCAACATGCATAAACTTGTTGGATCAGTCATTTCGGTCCCAAGCAAAAATGTCGCAGATTCCTGATAAAATATAACCATTGTTGCTGACTGGGTGAGCAAATAAAATTTTCTTGTTATAAACACTATCTTATGTTAATCAATTAGCGGTCAATTCCGTTGACATTGCAACCCTCCAAGAAACACGCCTGACATTGACTATATGGCTTAGAGAGGAAAAAAAAACGCCGTCTTCAGGCACGATAAAATCCAAGAAGAAACAGTGGAAAACAATCCTGAGGATGATCAACCATCCTACAAGCAGTTTATTAAGAATATTGGTAATGCACCAGTTAAGCTTTGAGATCCTGGTAGATATTTAAATTTGTGCGTCACAGCAGTCTACTCGTCGTTAAAAACAAACGATGACGAACTCGGAGACACCATCAACGCAATCCCCAAAACATAAAGACATGTACCTGTTAGCTGGTTGTAATATAAGAATAGGTGTTGATCGCGTTTCATGGCTTAGTTATCTAGGACATCATAGGACTAGGAAGTTGAACTACATTGGACTGAGACTATTGGAACTTTGCTCCAATCATGATCTCTACACGCACGTACTTCCAGGACAAAGCCTCATCAAAAAGTTTGATGGAGATAGCCCAGAACTGGTCACTCACACCAAATGGATGCATCATCCTCAACACCGTCTTCTTCATTCACAGCTACCTTAGCGCAGACTGTGACATTGATCTTACACTTATTATGTAGAAAGGTCAGATTTCAGAAATATATATGCAATGGTCGAAGCACAAAGGAATGCCCCATATAAAAGTCTGCACCACAGCTGACAATGTGATATGATGTCATTATGATTTTTAACGTAGCTTTAACATTTTTTTCCAGTCATATCGTTAAGATGTCAGCAGTGTAGAAGTTTGTAGTGGGGCATCATGCTGCAAACATGTAGCATGATGTCCCACCCATTCACATTATCCTGACACCAGTCCGACCAGTCCTAACAATGAATTTTTAATGCTGAGCGCCAAGCGAGGCAGTTGTCAGTACCATTTTTGTATTTGGTATGACTCAAACGAGAATCGAACCAATAACATTCCGCATCCAAGGCGGACGCTCTAACCACTAAGCGACCGTAACGGTTCCAGATGAAAATGATAAGTCACAGCTGTACACTTACACCCTGCAAAAAGCTCTCAGCTCCAACAGTCATGAAATGAGCATCCAATAGAAATAGGACCTACTGAAGAAGAATCTACAGCCACAACCAAGTTAACTTTAAGCAAACAGCAGAATAAGACCAATGAATGGATAGAAGGAAACTTTTGTGATATAAACCAAACTCGACGACCTTGCTAGCTACAAGAGTGCCCGAAATCAGGAAAAAAAAAATACCAGCAGAAGAGCTGCCAGATTTAGCGCTCAAACAGTTGTAAGAGTGCCAACGACTATTGGCTGCAGCTATGTAAAACCATCCAGACAAAAGAAGACACAAGTAATATCAAACGCATGTACGATGAGATCAAGAACACAATAATATATCTATTTAAAAGGAGACAACTACTGTACAATATGTTACAAACATGGCTATAAATGGTCGTGACAATAGCTGGAGCGGAGTGAAGAACACTAATCAGATCTTTACCCCGAAAAATTATTGTCAATGATATAGCCTTCAACGCCATGTTACGTGTCTAGGCTTGTTCAAAAGTAAAAAAGACATAAAAGAGTGACGCCAACAAGCATTGTAAATTTTCATAAAAGAATTTATTTCTCTAGAAAACAAGGTAAATATATGAAAAAGGACTTACGGTTTGTAAATCGAATACAAAACTTTAATCTTAGAATACTCAATAGTAAAAATGATGTATTCACTAAACTAGTGAAAACAGACTATTTTACTCAAATAGTAAAATGATAAATTGATTGGACAGATAGCATGCAAAATATCTTTACATTTCCAAAACACTAGGTATAACAAAACCCCTCAAATTAGACAACGGCTAAAAGATAGCATGCATGAAATACCACTAAACACTCCCGTCAATATTACACTTGGATACCTGTCACACTGGTCAATCAAGCAAATATTATAGGTAATCTTCGACCACCATTCTACTCCTTGGTCAATCAAGCAATCTACACCCACCAATTTGGTCAGCAATGCCCGATCACCTTCAACCCGACCAGCAACAGTGTTCACTCAACTCTATGGCTGCTATGGTTCAGCTTGGCAGCTGCTGTAAAAAATTCTTATGGCTAGCGCTGTAGCTGAGTCCACGTACTACGATCAGCATGGATCACTCTGACCAGTTGGATCACTCCGATCAGCTGAAAATACATCTAACACCATGTACTATATATATGACACGGGCATATACGATAACACTTAATGAAGTTATATGCGGTAAGTTATACAAATTACATTATCGGTACAACATTACAAGATAATAAACAGGTTCAGAAGTGAACATGTTATCGATAAGATTCCTATGCTGCTAAACGTTTTTCAATGAAATGCAACTTTGATTAACAATAATAGAAAATACGTGCATTACACTACGCAAGCGAAAACTACATTGAAAGCATATAAAAATAAACGTGATAGTACGTACATAGCTATAACTTAAAATATACACAAGAAAGAATATACAAAAGAAATAAGTAAACAACTTACATACCTTAAAGGTGAATATGTGCAAATCTCTAAGTAGATTGCCGACTGACAAAACGTTATGTAATTTGTAAATTTAATCTTACTGTGAGGCATTTATACAAAGACAACTTAGTCTTACGTCGTCTGTGCAATTGATGTATTTGGTTTTTCCAACGAAAACATTTCGCATGTGCGACAATTGATGAACCGAACTCATTGTTTCGAAATATTGTACAATATACATAAATCACCCTCAGGTATCGTTTCACACTAGAAACGAATCCCGAGTATATGTATTTGAAAAATAAATGTAATTTATACAATTCCGTAACACTAAATTAGTCAACAAAATTTTACGAGTATCATTTTGTATAGAGAACTTAAGTTTTCTGAAGTGAATTTTTTATACAAAGGTGGGTAAATATTTTCTTTGAATTTCTCCATAAAGCAGATTAGCAGTAATAAAATGGAATTCTTTATCGAGATATATTACAAATTTGACAGAATCTTTTATAATAGAAAATACTTTCATATCTTCCCGAGGTACCTATGGTTGGCAAGTTCCCCACTCGAAGCATAATGATTATATAACAAAAGTTCTATCTCTTATAAGTTTTAAATATCTTTGACAAGTGAATTATACTCTTGGTGACATATATGAACGGGTTCTTTCCGTCCATCGCCTTAATCTTATCCTGCAACGTTTGCCCATAGTTATCTTCACATGTCTGACTGGACAATCTAAGAAATATATTTTCATTGTTTACACCGTAAGTACACCAAACATTACCAATCCCAAATGTAATTGGAAGCCTTTTAAAATTGTTAAGCTAGCAGTCGCAATTTTCACCCCAAACTGTAAATAGTAGCATTGCTTAGGATATATGTCTTCTGGCACTCTTAAAATTCTTATCAAAATACGTATATGTCTTATACACTGCACACCAATTCTTCCTAATTAAAATTATGCATTTGGAGTAGAATTATATGTATCAAGAATATATTTACAAAAAGACAAATCAGTCTTTTCAAGACCATGTCGTGATTGATTCTTTTTCTCAGACACTTTTGAATGCATCGTCTTGAATCTTGTAAATCTTGATGGGTATATTCATCTTTGAGTATACTACTCATCAAGGTCAAATGTAGGTCACAATGTATCACTTTCCCTGCTTTTCACACTTTAATGAGTATTTTCAATTATGCCAGAGCAGAGTGGAAGAGATATAGCATGCTGAGGTTAACGGGTACACTTCAGACACCATACGAAAGTTTCTGTTGCACAACGAGTCATAGTCGGTGTTGAGAGGCGGTTAATACACGTAGAAACATCTAGTAAGATATGTTACGATATCACCCGTCTATTTAAGCAACAAATGTTCGACAAAGCAACCCCCCCCAAAAAAAAACATATAAATGTTGAACGTATGTAGCCGGCAAAGATATATAATACTTCAGTTTTGCCCAAAACACCGAACTACTTTCAAAACAAAGATTAAGTGTATCAAAATGGCTATATACTTAAGATGACACTATTACGCCGCTACAATGACTCATTCATTGCATGTTTGTTTGATCGTAACATCTTCACACAATATTTCATTGTCAATGTATAATTCTTATTTTTCTTCATTTTGTACACTTAAATAAATTTGATGCAGTTATGATATTTATTTCCTCTGCTTATGTGTCTTTGACTAATTGGATTCTACAAAGTCTATACTGCTGTCTCCTTTTATTTTTATATCTGAGTCGGATTTTGATGGGCTGGCGCACGTGTTAGCAACATAAGTCAGAAATCGATATAATCACATCACTCTTGTGTAAGCAAAAACAAAATCATTTCGATGGTCATAGGTCAAGGACTGATGCAAGAGTAACGCAGATAAATAAATTAACTGAACAGTGTACCTAAGAGTTTTCAGTAGAAAACGAAAAATAAATTTAGATCTGTCCGAAACTTTGGTACTAGCCAATTTTAGCTGGCGTAGTAATCATGATATAGTGTGTGCCTCGGTTTAGTAATAAAAATAAGAACAAGATCTCTTTATCAAGTGCAGATGCACCTCACATTCTGCTCGTTACACAACAATTAAAGCTGGTAAAGATTCGTCGATAATCGAGGAACATATACTTTCTATTTAACAATCATCTTTAAATCGATATTAGCCCTTTCAAGTCCATTAGACCCTGCACTGGATCGCGTGTGTCAGTGATTAAAACAAATGTAATAAGCTGACAAACGAACAGGGCAAAGTAAGTTTTAAGTAGCATAAGCGCTTTCGAGTCTTGTAGAATGGCTAAATTTTTTTGAGATTTAAGTACAGCTTCTTTTAATTTTCGTGTTGAAAAATGGATAACGGATTGAAGAAAAAGTAAACAGTCTTATAGATGCTCTTAAATTTATATCAGACGTTTGAATCTCCGTTTGTTGTTAGCATTGGCACGTAATCAAAGCCGTTGTTTTTTCTAATGAAGGCTAGTATGTTAACTTTATCATGTGCGGAAGCAGTATTCGATTCTCTTTTCTCTTTTTCCTCCCTCTTTCTTTCTGATAGAAAATAACTGTATTTAAATTGCCTAAATTGTTTGTCGTATTAAAAAGTGGTTGAAATATTGTGAGAGTATTTATATTGTATCACATGCACATGATTTATTCTTAATGTAGATTGAACGTTTGGAAAAATAGTGTAAACGTGACATTGGGGTAAAAGGAAATCTACGACTGGTTCAATGGGTATTTGATGAAACCCATACCACAGGAAGAATAAGTGAATTAAAGTTTTGACGAATCATTTGCAGAGTTCATCATATCGATTGAAGCATAGCAGTTTGTGAGACTCAAAAGAACAAAATTGACTTTAGATGTGGCTTAGAGTGAAAGATTGTTTATGTGTGACCTAAATGAAAGTTTACTGACATTTTTTTATAAAGTCTATTCATGTCTTATTTAGAATAAAATTTAAATCCAGATGTATAATCTGATCCGTCAATTATACTTCTGATGCTCATAAGCGTATCACTTCTAGGAAATTCAATATTCTATTTTATATAAGACAATTATAAATAAAATTCACCAAAAACATTCAATTGCATTTTGCTAAGTAGTACTTATGTCGATGAAATTGGTAAAAAACAGAAGGTTATACGATTATAAATCTGTATACGTTATCCACACCGGAATCACAATCGTGCGTGTGTATGATATGGATTTTTAACATATCTTTAAAAAATTTCAGTCATGTCGCTACAATGTCTGCACTGTAGCAATTTACAGTGATGTCTAGCACTGGGGCATATTGCCGCAGACATGTAACATGGCGTACCACCCAGTCACATTATCCTGACACCAGGCCTACCAGTCCTAACAATGAATTCCTAATGCTGAGCGCCAAGCGAGGCAGCTGTTAGTACCATTTTTGTAAGTCTTTGGTATGACTCGGCTGAGTTGAAATACGCGACTTTCCGCATCTCAGGCTGACGC